CACACACACACACACACACACACACACACACACACGTAAATCTATGGGGTGAAATTCTACTTTATTCAAAAAGCACACAATTTATAGGCAGTCAGTCAATGTGGTGTTTTGTAAATTCCTACTTTAGGAATAAAACCAGTCTGACTCAAATCGAAACACAAATAGATTCTAAACACGGCCTCACACCTAACATGCATTGTCTGACCTAAAATGTCACCTCTTCTTTACAGTGATAAAACCTTTAGTTCTCTTAGGACAGTGACTTGAAAGGAATTCGGGGATTTACATTTTCATATTAACCAATTAAAGCCTCCTAACTGATTGAAGATTTAACAGCATCTTATCTTTTACTTATAAATTCTGTGTATCATACCACCTCTCTCACTAACACCAGAAGAAGGAGCAAGGCTCCGAAAGCTTGTGTTTTCAAATAAACCTGTTGGACTTTCACCTGGTATCGTGTAATTTCTGACCTCAGCTAGCTAAGGCTGGGACCAGAGATCGTCAGGTAGAGAGGATAAAAGTTACCTTGAAGGGATGGTGGCAGTGGGTTTGGGATTACTCAATCTAAAGTTCTGATTTCTCTCCTACTTCTTTCACTTTTTCACAGCAGACTTAATGTCGTCAGTATCTGACATGTTGCAGCTTGTGGGGGCACTCTTACCAACATGGCATGTTTAGAGGCAAGTTTCTCAACACAGTAATGTTAGTTTGTAGACATGCTCACCGGGCCAGTGTGTTTGGTTGCAGATGTTCCGTCACCCTGCTAGGTAACATCGTCAGTGCGCCTCCAGTGAAGTGTCAGTGTTCTGTCCCACTTGTTATTTATATGCCTCGGTTTGCTGGGTTGGTTGGTATTCCGGTTTTATTTCTTAGTGGTTTGTACACAGGGTCTAATTCAATGTGTTTGTTGATGGAGTTCCATCAGGAATTCCCTGTTGTGTCTCTGTCTTGCTTGTGCGATTATGTATGTGTTGTCCCAGTCGAATTCGTGTCCATCATTGTCCATGTGTAGTGAGACAAGTGAGAATTGGTCATGTCTCTTGGTGTCTAGTTGGCGTTCATGTATCTGTATTGTCAGTTTTCTTCCGGTTTGGCCTATGTAGTGTTTCTCACAGTCCTTGCATGGTATTTTGTGTATTACACTGGTTTTGCTGGTTTTGGGTATGGGATCCTTTACCTTCGTCAGTAGCTGTTGTCGGGTGGTTGTGGTTTGTGGGCTACCCTGATATCTAGGGGTCTTAGTAGTCTTGTGGTCATCTCTGAAATGTCCTTGATGTATGGTAGGGTGACTAGTGAGCCTGGTCATGTTGTGTCTTCCTGTTGTGGTCTGTTTCAGAGGTAACGGCAGACTGTGCTTTTCGGGTATCCATTCCTTTTGAAGACTCCGTAGAGGTGCTCCTGTTCTGCTTTGCGTAGTTCTGGGTTGCTGCAATGTTTTGTGGCTCATTTAAATAGTGTCATGATGCAGCTCCGTTTGTGGGCGTTGAGTGGTTGCTAGTGTCATTGAATATCTGGTTCGTATGTGTGGTCTTTCTGTATCTGCTGGTCTGAAGTTCCCCACTGTTTTTGCGTTCTACCATCATGTCCAGGAAAGGTAGTCGTTGTTGTTCTCTTCTTCTTTTGTGAATTTTATCCCGGTAAGAATGTTGTTTATGTGTCAGTGGGTTTCTTCTAGTTTTGTGCGTTTAATAATCACAAAGGTGTCAACTACATCTTGAACCCAAAGTTTGGGTTGTATAGTGAGGAACGCTGTCCGTTCTAATCTTTGCATTACTGCTTCTGCAATCAGTCCTGGTACTGGGGATCCCATTGGTGTTCCGTTGATTTGTTTGTATATGCTGTCGTTGAAGATGAAGTGGGTTGTGAGGCATAGATCTCGTAGTTTCATGGTGGTGTCCTTATTGATGTTGTTGGTGTCCTGGGTTGCCTGCCTACTTGATTCAAATAACAAGCGGGACAGAACAGTGGCGCTTCACCAGAGGCGCACTGACGACGTTACCTAGCAGGGTGACGAAATGTTTGCAAACAAACCCACCACTTGGAAATATTCCTGAAATATTGCCTTGCCTGTGTCCATGAGTAAAAAGAAAAGAAGGAAAATGAGTTGAATTCACTTGCAGCTTCTTGTCGTATGCACAATTTAACTGTGCTGAAGAGAAAATGGCATGAAGCTAGGTAATAGTGGCTGTTTAAATAGAAAAATGTACATTAGAACAAAATAAGTTAAGAAACCAGGAGAAGTAGATGGTATGACATTCAACCCAGCTCCACCACTCAATGTGTGTAATAACATCTCTGAATACATCAATTAGAAAAATAGGTTAAATTTAAAAAATGTATAATCATGGCTAACCTTATGCCTCGAATCCACTACCCATATCCGTTGACTCCAAGAGATTAAAAATCTGTCTCTCTCAGCTTTGAACACATTCAGAAATGAGGCATCTACAACACTGCGATGGTCCCCTCAGTTCCAAGTGATTGTCCTCTTACCCTGAGTGTGCCCTCATATTCTAGACTCCCCAGCCAGTAGAAAGAAGATAATACTTGAAGTTTAACAACATCCAGGACAAACCAGCCCACTTGATTGATACCCCTTCAACCACTTTCAAAATTCAGTCCTTTCACCACTGATATGGCTGCAGTGTTTACCACCTACAAGTTGCGCTGTCATAATTCACCAAGGCTGCTTCAACTGCAACTTCTACACTCGTGACCTCTACAACCCAAAAAGATATTTCATCATTATAAGAGTGGTAATAATGTGGTTTCTTGGCAACAAGGAAATCAGCCAGCTGGCAATGCGACAACAGCCTAAACTGCACTTGGACGCATTTATGGCTCAGGAGCTAATATCTTGTTTATATTCCTGCAGTAAAAATACTTGTTGTGAAATCACAACACATGGTGCAGGAAATGAACAAAGGTAAAAGAATGGACACAGCCACCTTGTGAAAATGCAGCTTTAAAGCTCCAAATATCACACATCCTATTGTCTCTGACTGCAAAGGTAGCCGTTATCACTAAGCTAACCTGAAGGCCTGGTCTGAATCACCCATGAATTAAGTAGTAAATTAGAAATCACAAATATTAACTTGTTAGCAATGTAGTAGTTCTGAATGCATGACTTGGTGCTGCTCAGATTTTAGTACAAGCCAATAGTGAGATGACATTTCATTTGGGTCATCATGACCCAAAGTAAATACAGGCAAGGATTTGCATTTCAGGTGAAGCTTTCAACTCTCTCTTGCAATTTTTTTGTTTGAGAAGAAGGCCAGTCACAATAATCAGGACCACGATTAAAATTCTTGGTCCATACTGTTTAGCCGTTGTGCAGGAGGTCTTGTGGTGCAGTGATAGTATGCCTAGCTCCAGTTCAAAAGCTCTACGTTCAAGTCCTATCTCAGGACTCACTGGCCACAGCTGTATAAAAACACAGCCAAGCAGGCTGATTACCAATCTGTAAATCTTTCCATTTAGGGTCAGTGCTAAAAGCAGGAGAGACTCCTGAACAGCCAAAATATGGTTCCCAGCCCTGAAAAAATGGGAAATGTTAGCAGTAGGAAGGTCACCAGTCTAAAACCAGCTGCCAAGTCCAAAAATGATAGCTGACACCAAGGTGATCATCCAGCATTTTGGCGACCCCATATAACATAGGAAAGACTGAAAGGGGTTTTAAAAAACTATTGAGTTCAACTATTAATTTTTGTATACATTGTTTAAAATGTGATTATTTGATTTCTTCATGTTTAGGTTAAAGAAAGCATTTGCTATAATTGTTTCAGAGATAGTACCTGCTATAATTGTCATTCTACCTTTATCTTTCAGCTGAATATTCTTCTGCTGCAAATTTCTGTTATTACTGTTTTTGTTTTGTCCTTTAATTACTGCAAATAGTTTGTTCAAATTAGATGAGCAAAGCAAATGGCAGACAATGAGCTATGAATTTTGAAATACATGTACATTTGTCAGAATTCCAATATGTTGCAGCACAAGTCTTACTGCACAAAGAGTCACTTATAACCCTCTCAAATTTTCCAATTAGTTCAAAACCTCCAAACTGAGTTATACACTGCTATAAACAATTTCTGACGTATTTTACCAATAATCCATGTTTTACAAAACAGCCTTTACAAAACAGAGGATTTATACAAGTTGAAAGAATTGAAGTTCAAATGATTTAATGACCGACATTTATCCTTTAGCTAGCCAAATACTATACTCAGCTGAATTAAGATTTAATTTCCACATGAATGCAATGGTGATGTTTGAATTATAATTTTATTTACAAAGTTTGTAGCCCCAATTACTGAGGTGATTCTTGTTCATTACTTACCTTCCACTCACTTCGACCATTTTTTCTGCACCGTTTGGTAAGAAAACCAACATGTCCACTGTTCCAGGCAACACATTTTCTTTCATTTCTCCTGGATTCTGATCTTTGCTTCTAACTTTACAATTTTGGGCAGCAGTGAGGATCTTGCGTGGAGCTGGCTGAGGCGGCGGTAGTGGAGCTCGACCTTTCATTCTGCTGAAAAAGCAATTAATTTATAAATGCACAGAATTATAGATACAACGAAATTCCAAAAGTGTAATATGTGTGTGTACTTTTGCTTTACAAGCAATGAACCAAGTCTGTACACAACAAACAGTTTCTCAACCACCTGATTGCTAGCTACAGTCAATGGCAGCATGCCATGCATATCAGCTTGTGATTGCTGGGCTGTGTTTTTTTTACCTATTCCTGTAACAAATGGAACTTAAAAACATTATACAATGTTTGTTTATTTCTGACCAATTATGTTGATACTTTGCCTGAAACTAATATGAAACCCCAGTCTATGCAAGGGAGGTCCAAACTTCTCAGATTCCTTTGGGAATCTGGACTGTGACTGCTGATAGCCTGCATTGCTGTAACCACTTTGCTCTGGCTCAAGAATCTTAGAAAAAACTGGAGATGTCACCCAAACTAAAAGACCAAGCAGCTCAAATCTCAGCATCCATAATGTGATATGAGCCATCAACAACTACAGAATTATATTCGACCATAATATACCTCACTCTACCATCACCATAAAGTCAGGGGATTAACCCTGGCTCAATGAAAATTGCAGGATTGCATGTCAGGCGCTGCAACAGGCATACTTAAAAATTAGATGCTAGCCTGATGAATCTACAACACAGGATACTTGTATACCAAACAGTGGAGGCAGCAAGCAATTGTCAGAGCTAAATAATCCCATAACCAAAGGATCAGATCTAAGCTCTGTAGACTTGTCACAGCCAGTTGTAAACGACAATGGAAAATTTAACTAACCACAGGAACGGACTCTACAATCTAGACACTCTATTCTCAATGATGAGGGAACCCTGGCACATCAGTGCAAAAGACAAGGTTGAAGTATCTGCAATAATTTTCAGCCAAAAGTGTCAAGTGGATAATCCATCCAAACCTCTTCTTGAGATTTCTGAGCTCCCCAGCCGGCTTCAACAAATTCAATTCATTCCAGGTAACATCAAGAAATGGCTGATGTTTCTGGATACAGCAAAAGCTATGAGTCTTGACAACATCTTGGCTTCAGTATTGAAGACTTGTACTTCAAAACTAGTCACAACCTCTGGTTAAGCCGTTGCAGTACGGCTACAGAACTTGCATGCAGCCAGCAAAATGTGGAACATTTTCCACATAGATTCTGTCCACAAAAACAGGAAGAATTAAAACCAGCCAATTAGTGCCCCTGTCTAATCGCAATCATCAACAAACTGTCATGTCAGTAGAGGTTTTGTTTTGGGGTAGAAGGAATGTGCTGTTTGACTCGTCAGGCCAAACAATGAGATATATGTCCTATATACCTGGCATCTCACCAGCAATGAAATTCATATACAATGTTGCTCAACTGCATGATAGGTAGGATGTCTTTCTGGACTGTCAGCAGCATCCTATTAGTGGAAAATACCACTTGAACAGCCACTACATAGTAGCAGCGTGAAATGGCTTGATAAAGCAGTTGCTCAACATTTTTTGTGATGCATTGCCTTTATAGGGTGATTTGAATCAGACTGGACAATTTTCAGATTAGGAAGTGGTGGCTTGTGATTTATTTGTGAGTTTGCGTGACACACAGTGAGCAATGATCTGATAATGATAGTCACTGCTCCTCAGGACAGCTTTGATACACTCTATTTCCACATCACATTTGCAAATGGCAAGGGTCCTATTTACAATATGGCTGATAAGGACAATCCTATAGAGTGTTAATCTGTATGAACACCAATGTGTGCATCGACTGGTGAAAGCAGGCTTGCAGTGGATGGGAGTGGAAAGCCTATGAGCAAATTTTTCAGCTAAGACTTCAAGGAAAGACAGCAACTGTTTTGGGTGCACCCTTAATAGAGGATCGGTGGTGCCTGACTGTATCAAATTAGGCATGCTCTTCAATCAAGCAGAATGAAAAATGTTCCAAAGACACAGAATCTAAACAATTAAAGATAAAACAGAAAATATAAATGAGATTCAAAAACAAAAAGCACCAGTGAAAGGTCTGGCAGCATCTGTAGAAAGATAAACAAAGTTAACGTTTCAAGTCCAGTGACTCTTCATCAGAACACTAAGATATATCAGGGTCACTGATGCAGAAGAACCTTAAATACAATGATTTGCCAAATTTAACTGCTGTCTCAACATGTAGAAAATGGAATTAAGTCTTCTGTACTGTTTTAGGTTCACAAAATATCAATATTTGATGAAGGCTGTAAATATTTAATTTTAACCATGTTGTTTTAAGTTGAACAGTGCCAAAAAGATAATGACATAGATTTTTGCATTATCATAGTTGAACATAAAGTCCCAGTTAAAGCAGCTGTACTAGATTTCGAAATTCATGTTAAAAATTCAATGGAAGAAAGAGAACATGTTCCTTATAAAGAAGTTTATCAATGTATGGAGAACTTGAGACATCCTGCTGGCGCATGTATTTGTTTGAACAGAATATTTCATTTTGCATGTATTATTTAAATAAAACAATGCTCAAAGAAAATGTGGCATTCTTAACAGCAAGTGACTTGGGCATATTTAAGTAGCTCTGAATAATTTAAAATAGATGGGTTCATTTGCTGACACCAAGGAGCGTGTGCACTAGCAGCAAAATCTCTTAAATATATTTAATCAAAAAGTGATATATATCTCATATGAAATAGTACGTTGCTTAAAACAAATAGTGTTAAACAAATTAGATTTTTAATTTTTCTCTAAAATTTGGCTTTAATTGTGCACTCACAGTCTGATTGGAGGTGAACATGTGCAGTTGGCATTCGGTACCAGAGCACAGGTGTCAGCAGACATCAAAAATAGACATCTCCCTCCTCACAAATAGCACTGCAATTATTCTTCAACTGGGTACAGCCCAAATCCATTTCAAGGATGTTTATTCTGCCTGTCACTCGGTGGTGGGCAGAAGTAGCTGTGAACCATACATTGATGTTCTATATCCATTTGTGAAAAAGAATTCCTAAGTTAAGGTGGATTTTTACATTCAATTCATTAAAATCCTGCTGCAAAATTTAGGGAGTACTAATTAAGTTGAACACATTTGCTGCGGCATAAGGCATCAGCAATGATTTGTTCATCATACTTCTGACGCAGATGGAGCTTGAAAGCTGTGAGCTAATGTTCCATCTCAGGACTTCAGCATTACAATCTAGGCTGACAGTCAAACGTCAAAATCCTGGACCTTCATGGTGAGAAACATGGTCTCAAAGCCTCAATCTGAGCTTTCAGTGCAGTTTCAGACTTTTCATAGAAACCCTACAGTGCGGAAACGAGTCCACGCTGACCCTCAGACATCCCACCCAGACCCATCCCCCTGTAACCCACCTAATATACACATCCCTGGACACTATGGACAACTGAGCATGGCCAAGCCACCTAGCCCGTACATCTTTGGACTGCAGGAGGAAACCAGAGCACCTAGGGGAAATCCACACAGATACAAGGAGTATGTGCAAACTCTACACAGACAGTTGCCCCAGGGTGTAATCGAACCCAGGTCTCTGTGATAGGGTTAGGGTTAGGGTTAGGGTTAGGGTTGGGGTTGGGGTTAGGGTTAGGTTAGGTAGCAGTGCTAACCACTGAGCCACCGTTCTGCTACAATCGAAGTTGAGATATTAGCCATCATGTTCTATTCAGACTGAATCTACTGTCATGGAATTGGCCATAACTCCGACATTGTAAAGGATGGTATCCAAATTCTGCAAGAAACCCTGTGCCATATTGGAGACAGACTCCTTCATTTTGCTTGATAGGGCCAGAAGAATCTACTAATGCATTAAGCAGAAGGAGAGGAAGGAAAGCAGAAAGGCCGGACTAATAGGGATTCCTTAGTTAAGAGAAGCATTTCTGTGGCCATCAATCTGTGTCCAAAGTGGTGTATTCGCTCAAATAAAGGCAAAATACTGTACAAGTCAGGACCAGTTCTGAAGAAGAGTCACTTCTGACTCGAAACATTAACTCTGGTTCTTTCTCCGTGGATGCCACCAGACATGTTGAGTTTACCATCATTTTCTGTGCTTGCTTATACTGGGTCACCTCTAAAAAGTCCAAGCGATATCCTGTTATAAAATGTTGGCCCTCGATTTTTAGTTGCAGCATTCAAGTGGTCCCTTTATTATGTATGCGGGGAGCCAGTGCTGGACAGTGCAAGTGCTTGTCCACCAAGGTTCAATATATGCTTTCTTTATCAATTACAACTTAATGGTGTTAAGAAGGCAAAGGCCACAGCTTCTGGTGGGCTGACAGTAGAATTGTTGTATAGTCCTCTCAAAGACATTAACGGGTGTTTATGTGTTCTGCATGAAAGGTTTACTGGAGGGGGATGGATTATATGTCCTACTATTTCTTACTTAGATTATCCCATGCATTGTTTGTGGCTCTCCCATTTCTTACTTGAGCCACCTGTGCATGCTTTGGCACCCTAACTGCTGATCCTGTCTGGCACTCTAAAATAAATACAGATTTTGCACCTTCACCTCCTTGGTTCTAAGGTAAAGGATATCATAGAATTCCTGGCGGACATTGTTCTGAGGCAGGACAAATAGCTAGAGGACATGGTTCACAATGACAGGGGTAGGAAGGGGAATTTGGTCCTAAAATCAGAATTTCGGGATCTAGGTAGAAAATAAACAAGCAGGACCTCAAAAAGTAGTAACCTCTGGATTATTCCCTGTACAATGAGCATGTAAGTACAGAAATAGAATACATAAGGCGGATGAAAATGAGGAAAGAGAGGAAAGATGATGCAGGAGGGAAGCCTTTGGATTCCTCGGACACGGAACTGGCTCAGGGGGGAAGATGGCACCTTTACAAGCCAGACAGTTACACCTGAACAGGGTAGGGACTGAATTTCTTGCAGGAAATTTTGCTAATGCTGTTGGGGAGAGTTAAAACCAACTCAGTAGAGTGTGGGAATTAGGAGATGGTGAGTATTAGAAAGTAAAAAGTGTACACAAAATGGTGGGAGAGTTAATCTAGGATAG